TGCATGTGTTGCTGTATATGTGTATGTATGGTTGTATGTATGTATGAAATTAAGTGTGTATGTGTGTATGGATGAATGTATGTGCGTATGCATGAATGAGTGTGTGTGTGTGTGTGCATGTATGTATGTATGTATGTGTGTGTATGCTTACGTGTATGTACGCATGTGTGTATGTATGTATGCATGCATGTATGTATGTGTATGTATGTATGGCGACTCCTCGTCTGCTCTGTCACTTTCTATGGGTCCCCAACTTCCCCCAGCACCGGGGGCAACCCAAGCAACCACTCCGTCAGTGTTGCCTTCAAGCGTGGCACACTTGAACCCAGGTCACCTCAAGTCAGGGCATCTCGGAGGTGGGGATTCCGAGGATGTCTCAGGCGAAACGGGCCTGAACACCTCTCGGACCAAGTCTTGGAACCCAGAAAGTGTGAGAACGTCTCGAGCGAAACGGGCCAGAGCACCTCAATTCAGGCATCTCGCAGTAGCCTTGGGTTTGGAGGACGTCTCAGCCCGAGTGTACCTCCTCGTGAACCGCATCTTCAACTCAGAGTTGCGAGACCGTCCCTGGCCGAACCGTCAGAGCCACGGATACCGACCATGTACCAGGCGACGTGCCTGCGTACCTCGCGAACCACATCTTGGAACCCAAAGTGGTGAGGGCGTCTCAAGCGAATCGGAGCCCAGTTTCCGAGGATGATGGCTCTCTGTGGGCCATGGGGCGCAGCCAGCTCTTTTGAGGGAAATCCCTCCCCGGCGCCTGCCCGGCACCGCCGTTGGGGTTGCTGGGGTCGCCCGAATCTGTCCCAGGCGACCCAGGCACCGAGGCTCAGGTGCACTGCCCCCCCGCCAGCCAGGGCGAGCCCTGGATGGGGCCCAAAACAATCCCAAAAGCCAACCGAGACAGCGAAGACCATACGGCTCCGAAACACACCTCCGCCCCGTAAAATGATACCGGAGAAAAAAACCCATCATAATATTTTTAGGGCTGTAGGGCTATGGGGCTATACGGTTATAGGACCATGGGGCTAGGGCTATAGGACTATAGGGCTGTAGGGCTATAGGAACATAGGGCTATAGGGCTACAAGGCAATAAGGCTATAGGGCTATAGGCCTATGAGGGCTATAGGGTTATAGGGCTATAGGGCGATTGGGCTATTGGGCATAAGGACTATAGGGTTATAGGGCTTATAGGGCTATAGGGCTATAGGGCTATTAGGGCTATAGGGCTATAGGGCTATAGGGCTATAGGGCTATAGGGCTATAGGGCTATAGGTCTATAGGTCTATAGGGATATTGGGTTATAGAACTATAAGGCTGTAGGGCGATAGAGCACCCGGGCACCCTGGGGCACCCGGGCACCCTGGGGCACCTCTGGGCACTCCTGGGCACCTCCGGGCACCCCCGGGCAACTGGGCCCCCGGGCACCCCCGGGCACCCAGGCACCCGGGCACCCCCCGGCACCCGGGCACCCGGGCGTGCGGCGAAAATCGACAGCAAACCTAACATAACCATATGAATCCGCTACGACCCCTACAGAGGCAAGCTCTGATTGGGGAACTACCCGACCGCTCGAGACATCCCCTCAATCTAGGCGCGAACAGGCCCATTGTACACCCTTCGTCGGCAGAGAACCGGCCCGCATCACCAGGCACGATCGAGCCGCGTCCAGCCCTGGTGTTGAAAAGTGTTCCGAGTCTTGAAAACAAGAGCACTATCCTTCCTCCCCTTCATCCTCGGTCATCCTGCTACTGCTCTTCCTCCCCCTCCCCCCTCTCTTCGCACTCCTCAACGGTTGCTCGGAATTGTGGGGACGTCTCATGCGAAACTGGCAGGACCCCCTCGCACGCGACATCTCTTTGCACATAATTGCGAGACGTCTCAGGAGAAACAGACAGGATCAGCTCGCGGGCGGCACCTTGAAGCCTAATTTTGCGACGATCATGATAATGATAAACAAAACCCGAAACATATACAAAAACAAAGAACACACACACCTTTTCCTCCAGCGGCAAAGCGACAGCACCGTCGCGAGCACTAAGCCGGGGCACGCTGAGTCGGACTCCACCTGGCGTAGCGGGTGGGCTGACAGAGAGAGGCAGTCGCGTGCAGAAAGACGCGCAGAAGCGCAATCAGCGCGCACACGGAGGACGCCAGCGAGCGGGCATGCAGAAGCACACAAACACACACTGGTTTGGCAGTCGCGGCCTCGCACGTAGCGACGGGGCGAAAAAGTCCCAAACAGTCCCCAAACACTTGTCTCGTCGGCGACTAGACAGAGGGTGACTGCACTGGCGATGAAGGGCATGCACGGGGGTACCGTTGGGCTGCATCGTGCCACCATGCAAGAGGAGGATGGAGGAGGGACGCGGCCGAAGGAAAAGAAGGAAAGGGCGGGCGGCTCAGGGGTCAGAAAGTCAAACACACACACACACACACACAAACAAACAAACAAACAAACACACACACACACACCTACACACACACACACACACCACACACACGCACGCACGCACGCACGCACGCACGCACGCACGCACGCACGCACGCACGCACACACACACACACACACACACACACACCACACACACGCACGCACGCACGCACGCACGCACGCACGCACGCATGCACGCACGCACACACACACACACACACACACACACACACACACACACACACACACGCACGCACGCACGCACGCACGCACGCACGCACGCACGCACGCACGCACGCACGCACGCACGCACGCACGCACACCCGCACACCCGCACATGCACAAATACACGCACAAATACACACACACACACACACACACACCTCCCGGCCCGTGTCCTGCCAGTTGGAGCCCGTCAGGTCGACGAGGGACGCCTCGGTCGACAGCACCGCCTGCTCCGCCTCTCCACGAGCAGCTGGGGCGGCAGCCGTGCCTCCGCGTGCGCGTGGGGAGAGGGGAGGGGAGAGGGGGAGACAGGCGGGCAGTGGGCGAGGGAGGGAACTCCGGACTCCGGAGTTCGGCGGCGAGCGAGGGGGCGAAACGAGCAGAAAGAAAAAGGCCTTCTCACGAGGCGGCGAGACTTCCCAGAAGCCCTCCGGCCTTCGGAGATGTTTTCTGTGCCTTCGGGGAATTACCAGCCTCAACGTATCCCTATCCCTAAGATTGACACGCCAGAAGGCGATGACAATCTTAGGGATTCGCCCTCAAAAAATAAGGGGGATCCCTAAGATTGGCATCGTGATGAGGAGGTGCCCAGCATAGGGATAGGGATATGTTCCAGGCTGGCAAGGGAAGGCTGAGAACACTTCTCGGAAGGCCCCAGGGGCACTTCCGAGCCCTCCCTCGCCCGCCCCTTCTCCCTTCCCCCCGGAGCTCTCCGCCGAGGAGCGGCCTCGCTCCGCCCAGGGCCCGCACGGCCCCCGCTGCCCCGCGTCGCCCCCCCCCCAGGCCTCGCGGCGCCCCCGACCGGCGGGGGCGCAGAGGGGGGTGGGGCCGGGGGGAGGGGGGAGGCTTCTTCGGATCGAAGGAGGCTGCTCCTCGGAAGGCGCCGGCCTCGCGTCTGCAGACAGGGCCCGCGCCTCCGACGAAGCAGGGGTGCTTCCAAGAGGCCTTCACCCCTCCCCCCTGCCCCACCTTCGAGTCGGGCGAAAGGGGGGGATAGCAAAGGGGGGGGGTGAGAACCAGCTCACGTAGCTGATTTTCCCGGCGCCTCCCGGCGCCGAAGGCGGCTGTGTATCGAGGAATGGGCCCCTCGGTGGGGCCGAAACTGCATGCAGCAAATTTCGTACCCCTTTCCCAATCCCCCCCTTTCGTCCGGCCCGACACCTCTGCGCGCCCCACCGACCCGAGCCCCGCTCCGAACCCGAGGCCTCCCGCGGCCCCGAGGCCTCCCGGGGGGAGCCTCGCCCAGCTCCCCGCACCGCCCGCCAGCGTGCCCCGCCGCGCCCCACGCGCCGATCGGGGCCCGCGCACCTGCCCGACCCGCGCCCCCCAGGGCGCGCGCTGAACCCAGACCTCCTGGCGTCTCGAAAAAGTCCGCCTGTGGGAGGACATGCTAGGGGGCCACGTGCGAACCCTACCCCATACCCCCCACGATTTCTGAGGGGGAGGGTGGGGCTCACTTCGCCCGGGAGATCCCGGGCGTAGTGAGCCCCACCCTCCCCCTCAGAAATCGTGGGGGGCATGGGGTAGGGTTCGCACGTGGCCCCCTACATGCCCGACCTGAGCCTCGGGGCTGGAAGCGGGGGCGTCCAGGATGCCCCGGCACCGAGTGGCCAGGTAGGGACAGGGCTTGCAAGCGGTCGCGGAGGTGGGTGCCCAGACCTCCTGGCGTCTCGAAAAAATCGGGACGGAGGTTTTTCGCTGTTGTCGGCCTCTCGGGGCCCTGGCAGGGCTTCGGAACAGTCAAAACCGACTCGCGATGAAAGGACGGTTCTGGGGAAGTGGTCGAGAGGTCAGGGGCCCGCGTCTCGAAAACATCGCGACGCCAGATGTCTGGGCACCCGGCACCGGGAGCCAGGCCGAGGTGTTCCAGCGTCCCGACGGCCCTGAGATCCTGAGATCCCGTTTTTCGAGCTGGGCGTTGTCGATACATCTCGGGCCCTGGGGCCCTCACAGAGCGATCCGGCTCGAAAGATGACGCAGAAGGACGGGGTCCGGGGGTCTGGTCGTGACGCTTTGCGATGCTGGACTTTCTGCTGCAGCGTCGGATCTCAGGGCACGGGGATGGGCGCGCAGCGCCGCAACGCCCACATGGCGACGTCGAGGAGACCGCCTTCATGTGCAGAGCACTGCTCAGCAGAGAGAGAGAGATAGAGACGAGCAAAAAATGACCCTGGCGCCACCCCACTTAGGGGAAAGCTTTCTACTGCATGGGCGCAGTGCTTGGCATTGCGAAGAACCTCCGGGAAACGGGCAACGGCACAGTATGAGGCACTGGGGGCGGGGAACCCGAGGAACCCGAGGAACCTCCGGGCAACGGGCAAGGTAACATCAGGAGGCACCAACCTGCAGCCAAGTAAGAACCCCTTATAAGCAAGCCGAATTCGGCGGTGGACAAACCACCCTTTAGTAAACCTCCCTTTAATAAAAACGGCCGAGGACCGAAACTGACGGACCTGGACCCGCAAAAATGACGGCCGCGACGCCCCCTCGCGAACTGAAAACGACCAATTCACTAATCGACGCGTCAGGGTAGGAGGTCTATCAATAGACGAGCGCGTTCCACTACTCGCAAAGGAACTACTTGCAAATGGCCTGGATCCGCCGCGGGGGACCTGCGATAAAGTACATCGAAGACGACATGTGTTTTTCGGACGCCTGCGAGTAGGCACTCTGCGAGTATTGGAACGCGCTCGGTGGATCAACCTCCGACGACTTGGGGAAAGAGGCCCCGCCCTGCGGCGAGTCCTGCTCGAGGGGGGGGAGGCCGGGAGGGCGGGGCGGAGCGCGCGGCAGCCCGGCGCCGGCGGCCAGCCGCGCGCTGGCACTGGGCAGGGGTGGGGGAAGAGAAGGGGCGGAGAGCGGTCGTTCGCAGTCGTCCGTCGGTCGGTCATCGTCTGTCGTTCGTCGTCGTCGGCATCGTCGCCGTCATTGTCGTCGGCATCTTCGTCGGCGTCGTCGGTCGTCGTCGTCGTCGTCGTTCGTCGTCGTCGTTCGTCGGCGTCGCCGTTCGTCACCGTCCGTCATGATTCGCTGCAGCAGTCCGCGCGGATTTCTTGGATCGGCGCTGGGCACCTGGGATGGCGCCTCTGGCGGCGCCCCTGGCGCCTGGCGCGCTCCGCACACCAGGGGAAGGAGATTCACCACAGATCCTAGAAATCTGCGCGGACCTCCGGGAAGGCTTATGCCGCTGTTGCTCTGTATTGACGCTCACTGTCCCCAAACATCTGGCGTCGCGATGTTTTCGAGACGCGGGCCCCTGACCTCTCGACCACTTCCCCAAAACCGTCCTTTCATCGCGAGTCGTTTTTGACTGTTCCGAAGCCCTGCCAGGGCCCCGAGAGGCCGACAACAGCGAAAAACCTCCGTCCCGATTTTTTCAAGACGCCAGGAGTGAGCATGCTACGCATGGAATGAATTCAATGGAAATACATCGCAGTGGATCCGTGAGTGGATCAATCTGGACTGATGAGGCTATGATGCCTCTTTTGATTTTGAGCCGGCTATGATGCCCGCTCGTGCCCACCCCGTCCCGTCTTCAGGGACTTCGCATCCTCCTATGATGGTAAGATGGGAAGACGGGCCGCCGCCCCTGGCACTGCACGTACGGCGCCAGGTTTGTGGGGATTTGGTTCGACCCCCACAGTTCCGGTGATGGAAACTGCAAGGGGTGTGAGGCCTCATGGTGGTCCTCACTGGTAAGGCCTATGATGGTCCTCACCAGGGGGGGGGAAGGGCAAGCGCGGACCAGGAGGAGGAGGACAGGGAGGAAGAGGGGGACGATGACGAGACAGTTAAGTTCAATGAACAGATTGAGCGCGAAGGCCTATGATGGTCCTTCTTCCCAAAACGAGCCTTGCTGATGGCCCCGAATTGGGTGCGAGGTGCCTATGATGGCCCCTCTGGTTGCCTATATGGCGGCACTAGACGACCGGCAGGGGACTGGGTCCCGTTCACGGTCCATTAGGGGTGAGCATGCTACGCATGGAATGAATTCAATGGAAAAAATCGCAGTGGATCCGTGAGTGGATCAATCTAGACTGATGAGGCTATGATGCCTCTTTTGATTTTGAGCCGGCTATAATGCCCGCTCGTGCCCACCCCGTCCCGTCTTCAGGGACTTCGCATCCTCCTATGATGGTAAGATGGGAAGACGGGCCGCCGCCCCTGGCACTGCACGTACGGCGCCAGGTTTGTGGGGATTTGGTTCGACCCCCACAGTTCCGGTGATGGAAACTGCAAGGGGTGTGAGGCCTCATGGTGGTCCTCACTGGTAAGGCCTATGATGGTCCTCACCAGGGGGGGGGAGGGCAAGGGCGGACCAGGAGGAGGAGGACAGGGAGGAAGAGGGGCTTGCGAGCCCTGCCCCTACTTGGCCACTCGGTGCAGGGGCATCCTGGACGCCCCCGATTCCAGCCCCGAGGCTCAGGCGGGCATGTCCTCCAGGCGGATTTTGGAAGAAAAATAAACAATAGTTCAAAATAATATGAATACTAATAACAGTTATATCAATAAGAATATGAATTATAAGAGTAATAAGAATAGTAAGAATAATAATAATAATGATAGGAATAACAAGAATAGTAATATTATTAATATTATGATTAGTAATCAGCACCATCACAATCAAAATAATAAGTATTGGATAAGAATGTCAGAAGATTGCGAAATGTCGTTCCTTCACTATTTTGTACCTATTCTTGACTACTCCTCCTGTAGAGGGACGTGCCCGGCGCGAGCGCGCGCCGAGCGCGCTCCAAGGGGCCTGCGCCGCTGGCGCCCGGCGTGCGCGCGTTCCCGAGCGTCTCCAGGGTGCCCGACAGCGACAGCTCCGCGACGGAGTGCTGCGGGGATCGGGGTGGGCTGGACAGACCGTGCGGTGACCTCGAAAACCCCCCAAGGCCTCACCGCACTGTCCGTCACCGCACGGTCTTGAGACCACGGACACCCCTGTCGAGCCCGAGACGTCCTCGGAGAATCACCCGAGTCCCAGAACCGTGCGGTGACCTCGAATCCCCACCGACTCACAGCACGGTGTGGTCACCACCCCCGTTTGTCGGGCTGGGCGAAAGAGGGGGCTAGCAAAGGGGGGGGGGAGAGAATCAGCTCACTATAGCTGATTTTCCCGGCGCCTCCCGGCGCCGGGAGGCGGCCATGCATCGAGGGATGGGCCCGGCGGCGGGGCCGAAACCAGCTGCGCGCAGCAGCTTTCGTAACCCCCCCTTTCCCTATCCCCCCTTTCGTTCGACCAGAGGGGAGGGGCGAGAGGAGAACTCCCAGACACGATCGCATCGTAAAAAAATATGTCTCTATGCTAGAACCATCGCGCGCGCTTCGCGCGCGCGCTCAGGTTCTAGCAGGCCCCAGGCCTTGACGAATTCACTGCTCCACTGAAGTAGTGGACCACAGTACACGCATGCCAATCTGCATTCGGAAAGGCCTTCGAGGAAGATGGTTGTGTAGGGGGGCGGAGGCCGTAAGAATCGGGTTCCCCGAAGGCCTTCTGGGAGCATGGGTTTGGGGGCGTCTTGGGGAGCCTGTTGGGGCGTGCGTCGTCGTCGTCGTCGTCGTCGTCGTCGTCGTCGTCGTCGTCGTCGTAATGTCGTCGTCGCCTATTGGGGCGCGCGTCGTCGTCGTCGTCGTCGTCGTCGTCGTCGTCGTCGTCGTCGTCGTCGTCGTCGTCGTCGTCGTCGTCGTCGTCGTCGTCGTCGTCGTCGTCGTCGTCGTCGTCGTCGTCGTCGTCGTCGTCGTCGTCGTCGTCGTCGTCGTCGTCGTCATCGTAATTGTCGTAGTCGTCGTCGTCGTCGTCGTCGTCGTCGTCTTCGTCGTCTTCGTCGTCGTTGTCGGTTCAAGAGGGCACTTGGGGCAATTTTGTGCGAATCGATCTGCGGAGGGCCGCGAGAAGGCGATCAGTCATGTTCCCAAGAAACTTCCCAGACAGCTCTCCTGTAGCATGATGGTTACTTCGAAGCCTCCGGAGACTCGGGGGCCCATGATGAACCATGTCCCCAGAAGGCTTTCTGGGGACATGGTTTGTTGGGGTGTGTTGGGCGGTCTCTTGGACGTTCCCTGGGGGCCCCCTGGGGGCCTCCGGGAAACTCTCGGGCCCATAATGAACCATGTCCCCGGAAGATTTTCTGGGGATGTGTTTTCTGGGGGTGTGTTGGGGGGCCTCTTGGGCGTTCCCTGGGAGCCCCTTGGGGGTCTCTTGGGGCTTCCTGGGGGCCTCTTGGGCGCCTCACGGGGCTTCGTGGGAGCCTCTTGATGGCCTCCGGGGGCCTACAGGCGGCCTCTAGGGCCAGAGACCTCGAAATATCGGTTGGCGGTCCCCCTCTGGGCCCTCTCTTGGGGAGCTCTTGGGGCACAGTTGGATTGTCTGGGGAGCCTCCTGGGCCGTCTTGGGGCCCTCGTCGGGGCATCGTGGCCCGTCTTGGAACGATCTGAAGGGCCTCCGAGCGAGGCCGTGAGGGAGCGCTGGAAAGCAGGAAAAGCGAGAACGCCAAAATCCAAAACACTCGGAAAACGAGTGAATCTTGCCTTCCAGGGCCCTCTTGGGGACCCTCATGAGTCCGTCCTGGAGCGTGTTGGAGTCCTCGTCGGCTGTCTTGAGGGCAGCTTGGGCGTCTTCGGAGCCTCTTGGGACCGTCTAGGGCCCTCTTGGGACCTCCATTAGCCTGTCGTGGCCTGCTTCGGGGCGGGCCCGGGCCGCCTCGGGCCTTCTCTTGGCGCGCTCTTGGGGCACACTTAGGTTGTCTGGAGAGCATCCTGGGCCGTCTTGGGGCCCTCGTCGGGGCATCGTGGGCCTTCTTGGAGCGATCTGAAGGGTCTCCGAGGCCGTGAAGGGAGCGCTGGAAAGCAGGAAAAGCGAGAACGCCAAAATCCAAAACACTCGGAAAACGAGTGAATCTTGCCTTCCAGGGCCCTCTTGGGGAGCCTCATGAGTCCGTCCTGGAGCGTGTTGGAGTCCTCGTCGGCTCTCTTGAGGGCATCTTGGGCGTCTTCGGGGCCTCGTGGGACCGTCTTGGGCCCTCTCGGGACCCCCTTAGCCTGTCACGGCCTGCTTCGGGGCGGGCTCGGGCCGTCTCGGGAGCTCTGGACCCCCCCCCGCAACCCCCGGTGGGCACCGATGGGGGGGACAAGCAGCGGCCCGCCCCCCCCCCGGGCCTACTCCGAGATAGAGAATCATGTTCCCGGGAAGCGTTCCGGGAGCATGATTTGTTCGGCTCTCTCAAGAGGGGGGCCTTTGGGGGCTTACCGAGGGGCGCCTTTTGGCTTTGTCGGCAAGCCTATTGGAAACATGGTTGGGGCGGTGGGCGGAAGCCCAAGGAATCATGTTCCCAGAAAGCTATCTGGGAAATACAATTTACCAAAGTGCCTTGGGTGCCCGCAGGGGGCTTCCCTGGGGGCCCCTTGGGGGCCTATTGGGGCTTCTGGGGGGCCTCTTGGGAGCCTCAAGAGGCTTCTTGGGAACCTCTTGATGGCCTCCGGGGGCGTCCTAGTAGCCTCTCAGGCCGGAGACCTTGGAATGTCGCGCCCTTCGGGCGCTTTGGGTCGCTCTTGGGGCTATCTTGGGGCGCTCTCGAGGCCCTCTTGACTTATCTGGGGAGCCTCCTAGGCCGTCTCTGGGCTTTCTTGGGAGCCTCTTCGGCCGTCTTGGAGCGATCTGAAGGGCCTCTGGCGCGGTCCGGGACCGTGGGGAGGCGGAACATGGGAGAGCGCAAGAATACTTCAAAAATCATTGGACAATTTATAATTTTCGGCTTCTGGGGCCCTTTGGAGGGGCCTCTGGAGGCGCTCTTGGGGCGTTTTGGCGGCGTCGTCGGCCGTCCTGAGGCCATCTTCGGCGTGTCCGGGGCCTCTGGGGGCTGCCTTTGGGCGTCCTGGGAGCCCGGAAGCCATGTTCCCGGAGAGGCTTCGGGGGACATGATTTCGAACGAGGCCCTCTTGGGCCTCCCTGAGGCCGTCTTGGGGGCCTCCTGGCTTCGGGGCCTCCTGGGCCGTCTCGGGGGGGTCCGTGAGCCCCACGGGACGACCTTTTTGGGCCGTCTTGGGCCCTCTTGGGTCTCTCTTGGGCTGTCTTGGGGCTCCTCGGGGGCGTCTGGGGCACTGCGAAGACGAAGCAAGGGAGTATGCAGAAAATGCACGTTTTACGAAAGGGATGGGCAGATGTTTGCCTCTTGAAGGCTCTCTTGGGGCCCTCTTCGGCCATGCCATCTCGGGCCCTCTTAAGCCTCGCTGACGCTGTCTTGTGGGCCTCTTGGGCGTCCTGGGAGCCCGGAAGTCATGTTCCCGGAGAGGCTTCGGGGGACATGATTTCGAACGAGGCCCTCTTGGGCCTCCCTGAGGCCGTCTTGGGGGCCTCCTGCGCCGGCTTCGGGGCCTCCTGGGCCGTCTCGGGGGGTTCCGTGAGCCCCACGGGACGACCTTTTTGGGCCGTCTTGGGCCCTCTTGGGTCTCTCTTGGGCTGTCTTGGGGCTCCGCGGGGGCGTCTGGGGCACTCTGAAGACGAAGCAAGCGAGTATTCTGAAAACGTACATTTTACGAAAGGGATGGGCCGATTCTTGCCTCTTGAAGGCCCTCTTGGTGCCCTCTTCGGCCATTTTGAAGCCATCTCGGGCCCTCTGGGGCCTCGCTGAGGCTATCTTGTGGGCCTCTTGGGCGTCCTGGGAGCCCGGAAGTCATGTTCCCGGAGAGGCTTCGGGGAACATGATTTCGAACGAGGCCCTCTTGGGCCTCCCTGAGGCCGTCTTGGGGGCCTCCTGGGCCGGCGTCGGGGCTTCTTAGGCCGCCTCGGGGGTTCTGAGAGCCCCACAGGCCGACCCGTTCGGTCCGTCTGGGGCCCTCTTGGGTCTCTCTTGGGCTGTGTTGGGGCTCCTCGGGGGCGTCTGGGGCACTGTGAAGACGAAGCCAGCGAGTAGTTGTGCTGAACATGTACGTTTTACGAAAGGAATGGGCCGATTCTTGCCTCTTGAAGGCCCTCTCGGTGCCCTCGTCGGCCATCTTCAAGCCATCTCGGGCCTTCTTGGGGCGTTCTTGGGCGTCTTCGGGGCCTCTTGAGGTTTTCTTGACCATCTGTACGGCCCGCGTGGCCTGTCGTGGGCAATTTGGAAGCGGCCCAGGGCAGTCCCAGGGGGTCTGTAACCCCCCAAAGGTTCCGGGGGGCGCCCATGGGGGATGACGGCACTGGCCCGGGCCCCCCCCCCGGCCTTCTCCGATATATATATATATATATATATATATATATATAATAGACATGCATACATATATATATATATATATATATATATGTGTGTGTGTAAACATATGCGTAGATATATGTATATATATATATATGTGTGTGTATGCGTGTATCTGTGTACACGCAACCATGCATATATAATATAATATATAGTATACCATAGTACCATATGATATAATAAAATATAATATATTATAATATAATACAACACAACATACTAGAATGTACTATGATGTGATATAATGTGATATACAATAAAATTGCATACTATAATGTCACATAATACAATACAATGAAATATTGTATAATATAGTATAATATAATATAATAGATTATATGATGTGAAATATGTTATAACATACCATTAACAAATGAAAACAAAATATAATATAATATAATATGATCTAAAATAATATACAATAATATAATAGAATATAATATAATATAGCATAGTATGGTACAGTCTAATATAATATAATATAGTATAATCTATACCATACATATATATAACAAAAACCACGGCTGGTGTTTGGTTATTCTCGGCCGCTGGAGGCCCTCGCTGGGCCCCGGGAGCGTCAGAAAACGACTCTGGGGGGAAAACCAAGC